GGAGCCTCATCTGCCTAACAGCCTGGCAAATATCCATAGTGGGCCGCCATCCCACTCATTGTTCACTGCCTCTCATTAAGAGCAGCCGAGTCAAGAAAAACAAGTCTTACAGTACTGGAGGTACTTTGAATTTAATGGTTTTTTTTTTTGTTTTGTTTTGTGTTTTTTTTTGTTTTTTTTTTTTTGCACGTGTAATGAATACTTGCATTCGAGCTCCAAACCATTGAAACCTGATTGGGCTCATTTCTGTCATTTTTTTCAAAGATGATGCAAACTTTGAAAAATAATCACACTTAAAAAAAAAAAAAAAATTGAATAATGTCATTGGCTTGACAGTCAGGTCGTGAAGAGACTTTTTCATTCAGGGGCATCTGAGGACATTCCGTCTATGACAGAGGATCTGCACTTAATCGCTTTAAAAGCAGTAATTAGGTGTTAAGAGGCAGTCTTGTCTGTTTAAATTAGCGTCTGAGTGGCCAGATTACACTCTTTAACTTTGTGGCAGGCCTCCTCTTGTTTGCGTTGTCATGTGTGCCACCGAAAGGGTAAAAAAAAAAAATACAAATGCTGCCATTCAAGAACATTTAAAATCCCGTCCAATCGGACCATAGGAATAGTTTGTCTTTGATGAAATAGGGTCTATTTATGTAGACCCTACGTGTCTACTCAATTTAATTTTGGCTTCGGGGGCATCATTTTTAAACAAGTACACGTGGTGCTGCTGCTACCACCAAGCAAAACAATGAAGTTGGATGCATTTAAAGTGGCAGTCAAGGCAATTTTTTTCAACCGGACGGAACAACGTTAAACATAAATACAGCTCAGTCACTTTCCCTGAATGTAGGCAGTTGGAATCTTGCATCAGTAATGAAGTCATGATGCACACAACTCATGAGAACAATGTTTGTATTTTTCTTTTAACATATACTGTATGTATGAGTGTCTAATTTACTCAGTGCAGATGAACAAAACGTGGCGTGGCCATCTCAAATGGTGTGTGTGTGTGTGAATGTGTGTGTCTGCGTGTATATAAGTGCAAGTATAAATGTGTCATCATGTGTATTCATAAATTTGTTATCACTCTTAATTTTTCTATTTTTCCTTCTTTGTTCTTCAGCTTGCTGGACCAAAATGACGCAATGTCACATAAGGTCCCCGCCCCTAACAAGTCAGCCGTTTGTCTGCATGATGCAGGTAATATGAAAAAAAAAAAAAGTTATTACAGTAATCACGTTTCCACTTGGTATTTGTTTTTGATGAGACGAATAGGCTCCATTCCGATATGTTCAAAGCTGTAGACCCCACCCCAATGTTTCCTCGACCTAATAAAAATAGGGGGGGGCCCTTCTTTTGTCCACGATAACCCAAGACTAAAATTGGGCAGTAGTTTGTGCGATCTAAACCCAAAATGGTCCTGCAAAAAGTCAGAGTTCCAGGGTAAGAAAACAGTTCCTGCGTCGCCGCGGTTTGTAACTTTTTTTTTTTTTTAAGTCTCTGTGCGCAAACAAATGTTCCAAGGCAGATATAACTTATTTTACAATAGACAACAACATGCTGGTGATTTAAATTTATAGGAGGGCAATTAGCGGGCGGGATGGTAAGAGGGGGGCTGGGGGGGGGGTCCTCTGACACCCCCTCTCGGGCCTGATGGAGTGGAGCCTCATCTGCCTAACAGCCTGGCAAATATCCATAGTGGGCCGCCATCCCACTCATTGTTCACTGCCTCTCATTAAGAGCAGCCGAGTCAAGAAAAACAAGTCTTACAGTACCCCCCCCCCCTCTAAAAAAAAAAAAAGAGGATCACATGTGTTGCCAGGTTTTGTCCATGGACTGAATGTGCTCTTTGGCCTTCATCCTGAGTGCCGCAATACTGAGTACTGGAGGTACTTTGAATTTAATGGTTTTTTTTTTTGTTTTGTTTTGTGTTTTTTTTTGTTTTTTTTTTTTTGCACGTGTAATGAATACTTGCATTCGAGCTCCAAACCATTGAAACCTGATTGGGCTCATTTCTGTCATTTTTTTCAAAGATGATGCAAACTTTGAAAAATAATCACACTTAAAAAAAAAAAAAAAATTGAATAATGTCATTGGCTTGACAGTCAGGTCGTGAAGAGACTTTTTCATTCAGGGGCATCTGAGGACATTCCGTCTATGACAGAGGATCTGCACTTAATCGCTTTAAAAGCAGTAATTAGGTGTTAAGAGGCAGTCTTGTCTGTTTAAATTAGCCTCTGAGTGGCCAGATTACACTCTTTAACTTTGTGGCAGGCCTCCTCTTGTTTGCGTT